GTTCTCCTTCTAAGGAACTTGATGTCCCCAGCAAGATGTTTCAGGACATTACCACATTTAAACTAAAATTTTCTTAGCCTCAGGGAAAGCTCATCTGTATACAGTTTAATGTTAGTCACAGAGAAAATTTTCAGATAACTAAAAAGAGAACTGATATGGCTCACACCTGAAACACACACATATACTGCCCCCACCACCTCATCTGAGACTTCTGGACATCAGTTACTCAGTTTCTCCTACTATTTTTTTCCACTAATACATCTCTTGTATAATCCCTTTATCTCCATTCTTCTTGCTGCTACCTTCTTTTAAGATTCACCACTCTGTCTTCTTGACTCAAATTATCCTTTGCTCCATTGTTGGTGCAGAGAGAAAAATAACCTCCCCTAAAAATGCTTTTTCTTTTGTCAGCATCCCAGTCAAAACTCATTAATGGTTCAATGGTTTCTTGAGGACCATGACTTACTTATTGTGTTTGCAGCACACATCATGGTGACCGACCCATAGAATATGTTCAATAAATGCTTATTGGATGGTTTATAATAATTGTGATATTTTTGCTTATCTGCCTCCCGCACTAGACCTAAATCTACTTGTGAGCAGAAGTCTAATCTCATAAATCTTTGTAGCCCTAGCTCCTAACATGGTTTCTGGTATATTGTACATGTTCAACAAATACTTATTGAAACAGTGAATGAAATGCAAATTCTGGACTTGCACATGTTTATTGTAGTCTCCCCTACCTAGACGACCTCATTTCCTACCGCTTCCTTCCTTCCTGTGAGGGGAGCCTCTGTACCAGTCAAGCTTCATGTAATCACACCGTTTCCCTCAGATGAATTACCACCACCATTTCCACCATCCACTTAAGAACTGTCCTCCTTCAAGGCTTAGCTTAAGTCTCATTCTATTCACAAAAGGGGAGACTTCCTCATTCCTGCAGCCGTCACAGATCTTCACGTTCTTCAAACTCATAGTGTCTACAGCCTTTATTCAAATTTTGTCCCTAACACATTCTTCTATTTTTTCCCTTCTTTTTTGACTCCTGGGTGATGTCACCTATTTCCTAATCCTTGACATTTCCCACGTGTTGATGACACCAAGTTCCTTCATCTCTAGCCCTAAGGTCTCCTCAGAGCATCAAAACTAGATGTTTTGATGTTTTATAAGCTCCTCAGGCTCAAAAATGTTCAAACGTTAGTTAATATTGCTAAATTTTGTAGGTATGTTAACTGCATTTTTTTTTATAATGAGTCCTTTTGCCTTTAGAGATATATGTTAAAATACTTATGGATGAATGACATGCAGTCTCAAATTTGTTTTAAAATAATATTTAGGGGGACAAAAGGAAGGAGTTATGCTGTTCTATGCACTATGGGTTTGAAATTTTTCACAATATAAACTTTTTAAAACTTTAATTCATCATTTTCCCCTATTATCACCTACAACCACTTCAAACCTGCTCCTACTTCACTCAAGTGCATCATTCTCCCAACCCACCCCCATCACAACCTTCTGGGACATTCTCTAGCAGGGAGCAGAGATTGACATGTGAAACTGAGACAGTTTAGCTTTCTGAGATCTGTGCCCAAGTAGAAGATCCTGATGTCAAGCCAAGTAATTACAAAATGTTTTTGAAAGCAAAAGGAGAGACGAGCTATATTCTGAAAGAAAAATGGGAGAATTAAGAGTTACCCCTCCACCCCACCACGTCCTCAGTTTTGTGATTTTCTAAAAACGTGACAAGAGAAACATCCAAAATCCATGGTCATGTGTGTTTTGCTTGAACTATCTGTTTCTTTTCCTCTTATCCACTTAGAAACTGTCTATTTCAGCTTCATTTGAGGCTCTGCTCAACTATTCCTTTCATTTTGCAGCACTGCCTGGACCTTCTCTGTCTCTCATAGAATTAAATGCTTCCTCATCAATATTCATGCAGGACATTATACCTACTTCCTTTTTTACTACATCTCTGTGGAGTATAGTTATTAGTTTGTGTGTGTTCTTCTGGCATTGTGCTACTGTGGAGAGAGAATTAACTTACACCGTCTTCCCCAAACTCTAAGCTCTGAGTTCGGGAACTGTCTTCCTCTCCTTGATTCCCCAGTTAGCACAATGACTTGAAAAGAGTAGATGTTCAATGAATGTCTGCAACTGAATCAGATAGAACCTAATTTCTTTGCATACGCTGCTCCTGTTTTCTGCTAACATCCATGTATTGAAAGTCTTCTTTCCTAATCTCCCCCACCCAAAAGTGCTTCCTCCTCCTCTGAATTCACAGAGCTTTTTTTTTTTCCTCTCACAGAGCATATCATGACCCGCTTTGGTTTTGGTGTCCTATCTCCTTTGTGGTCCAAGATTTGTGAGAACAATGACCATAGCTTTTCCTCCCATTACTCTCTGCGGAGCTGTTCAGTATTTGGTTCCCGACCACACTTGAAAAATTTGTTGAATTGAATATTTGAATGTAAAAGACTTGGGAAGAATCTTGATTTCCTGCTTTAGATCAGCAATACCGAATATTTGATGTCCATTATTTCCTTAAATAATTTCATGAGCTTCATTATTTATAGAGGGAATAAACAGGTCTGTAAACAGGCAGCCACAATGCATGGAGAAAGTACTCACAAAATTTTTTAAGGTTTCCAGAATTATGCAGCACATGTTACCCATTTAATCAGTGAATGCTCACAAAAACACAACAATGGAGGATTTGTATCTCCATTTTAAAGCTAAGGAAACAAGCTACAGGAAACTGAACCTACTGTTTGTAGCAGGTTCAGGAACAGAACTAAGATTTTTATCCTAAGACTGCTGAATCCAATTCCAATGTCCTTCACACCTACACCACAGGTGCCACGTGTAAATAACAGACTTAGCTCATCTAAGACTTCTCATCTGTTACAGATATTTTGGAGAAGCATTAGAGCAGACAGAGTTAGAAGAAAACCTCTGCTGACAGATTGTGCTCAGATCCTGGCTCTGCCAAGCTGCATGACCCTGGACCAGTCAACAATCGCTTTGGAGAGGAGAAACAATTACTTTGTAAACTGAAGCAGCGCACTTAATGAAGGAAGCAGAGAAGCTGCTGTGGAGGCTTTTTGCTATCTAATGTGCTCACGCGGTGCCCCAGTTTCTGCATCAGTAAATTAAGATGATAATAACCCCTAGGGTTGTGCAGAAGATTAGATGAGTTAATATACAGAAAGCATTTAAACAGTGCCTGGCGCATCGTAAGCGCAATGTATAATGGTTTGTTTTCATCACTACTTTGATCATTTATTTTAAAATAAAATGTGCAATACATTTTGTATAGTAAGAAAGGCAGAAATAGTGAATTTTGGGATCAATTTTTGAGACTAGTTCTGAGATATTCATGGCCTTAGCATCTAAAATCTCTTTTACATTCTCCACAAGCTTTCTGAACATACTTAGTTTGTAAAATCAGATTGGACATTTTACAGGAATAGCTTTTCTCATGGAATTTCAGTACTTTCAGTTCCATTCTAGCTGGAGTCTAAAATACTGTTGCATGCGGATTTTAAAATTATGTGAAAACAACATGATCCAAACTTATTTTTTATTCATTTTCAGGAAAAGTATTGTTGGTTCACGTGTGGAATAAAAGCAAAGCTAATAGTTATTTGATATCACTGGAGTATGAATCAATCACCCCCAAAACAGGGCAACATACAGTGAGCTATTCCGATGGCTGGTTGTGAAAAAAAAAAAACCTAGCAAAGCTGTAAAAATGATATATTATTTATTTAATCAGTGAGTCTATAAATCTCAGTTGAGTACTCCCCTATGCCAGGCAATATTCTAGAAAAAGGACACACAGCTCATGTCCTCCCCATGGAGCTTACCTACAGGTGTAAGGAGACAGAAAATAAACAATAAAACAAACAAAATTTTTACAGATTTTATGGTGAGAGTTATGGAAGAAATGTACAGGATGATATGACCTACTAGATACGTGGAAAGGTGGAGGAATGATATTAGATAGGATCATTTGGGAAGGTTTAAGTAGAAACCTGAAAGACCAGAAGAAGACACAGAATTTGATGACACTATATTATGAAAAACAGAATACAGAAACATTAAGCATAGAGAGGTAAATTACCAAAGTCCTTTTTTTTCTTTGCTCATCTTACATATATTTTTTGTTCCTATCGGTAAAGTTGATTTGATTCAAATGTCATTAAAATAGCTTGGACAAAGGTCAAACATTATCCAAGATTCATGTCTCTTTCTTTCTTTTCAGTATAAAAGTAATACTCATTACAAAAAAATTTGGAAAATACAAATTTTAAATGAAATAAAATTTACTCACAATCCAAAAACTTAAATGTAAATGTTCCTAATATGTTGGTCAAGGCCTAAAGCAGATTTTGTTTTTAAAGTTCTGTTTGTGGTTATCTAACCTTTATGAAATGAGGTTAAACAAAGTAGGTAGCCAACCCAGCTTAGAAAAAAGAGAAGCAGAAGCAGAGGTCATGCCAATATTCAGAGTTTACACAGTAATAAGCATGTTTTGGATTAAAAGTTACAATTGATTAGAAGCAAACGTTGTAGTAGTTACAACAATACAGCCAGAGAAATGTTTGATTTCAAATATTGCCAAATCTTATCTCCCTAATCAATTGTGCCCACAAGAGATACAGTCCTATTCCACTTTGAAAGTAATAACCTTGAGGGAGAGTGACTATCAAGAAATTAGCCTTGTTCTGATGGACAGAAGCTGGGGTGGATGGTGACAGTGGTGGCAATGGAGTTGGTGGTAATGCTTCTGGCCCTGGCCCCAGCTGAGCCCCAGTGGATGACAAGGCTACAGCAGTGAATACCTTGCTCATTCTCATCATTTGAGATTCAGCTTTTTCGTTAACTGTCAGCATCGTAATTTCCTCCTCTTCCTGATCCTTCTCCTCCCTCTCCAACTCTCAGACTGAGGAGCTTACAGGTTACAACCTGCCTTTTGAGGCAATACTGAACTCACAGACCTCAGCACCACCTTCTGTTGGACGGAGTGAGGCTCATGCTTCAGGGGTTCAGAGCGCACACATCTTCTTCACTTCAATCCTAAGAATAAGAAAAGACATGGAAAATAAAGGCCCAGTAGCAGCCAAGTCTTTGAACAAGAGCAGCCCATCCATATCTACTCCAAGAAGAGTATACTGATTTAAAGAATCTCCCCCTGGGAGCTGAAGATGGGAAATTAGAGGGAGAGGCAATTGGGCTATTGTTAATTGTTCTCTTATTTTTCACTTTACACAATAAAGAGACTTTTGCTTTTGCCGTGCTTAGGGTCAAAGAACCAAATTAGGCTGAGGCATTGACATAGCAAAAATTAAAGTATACTATTTTGTCTCAGGAGTCCCTTGGCAATTGTTTCTTCCCTTTCAAGTATAGGTAGATAGTAAGCAGGTAAGTAGACACACAGAGATATTTATACATATGTATGTATATATGCTTGTGTGTGCATTCATTATCGTAATTACAATTCTGTATCTTGTCTTTTTCACTAAACGTAAGCATCATCCCATGTAAATGAATTCACCTTCAAAAATATCTTCTTGAATGAATAATAGTGTGTCATACAGATGTATTATAGTTTATTTAACCAGCAGTCTCTATTGCTGGACTTTTAGTTTGCCTCTGATAAATGATGCTGTAATGAACATCCTAGGATATTTTCATCTTTTTCCAGTTGCTATTTTTTTAGGATAAATCCCCAGACATATATCCACTAAGATCAATCATTTGAATATTTATCAAGGTTCTTGGCCCACATTGTTAAATTGCTCTCCCAATAGCAATGTTTAAGAAGACTCTTCTGACTAAACCCAGAAGTATTACCTATCTTTTAAAAAGTCTTTACTGGCATTCATTTTAATAAAATTTAAGGTCTGAGTCAGAGTCACTTATTTTTCCTTATTTCTATCTTTTTAGGGAGTGGAGAGGTCAAAGTAGGCTTCCTGGTAGAGCTAAAATATGCTCCCAATGATCTGCCAGTTAGAAAAGGAGAAAGAGCATGTAGTTCTAAAAATGTGCACAAGATTGGTCTATGTGTTTATTTTCAGGAAGATTATTTTCTTAGGGCCATTTCAGTGACCTTGGGTTCATACTGCTTTTGAATCCTGTATGGTCAACACTGGCTATTTTTGAGCAGAGAAATTCCTAGAACTTATTTAGGCACTAAAATACTTAAAATGAACCATGGATTAATATTATGCATTTAAGCTTCAAAGAAGAACATTTGGATAAAGTTTGCCTTGGGCGATATCACAGAAATAGCATGGTTTAAATATTTTGATTTGCAGTATAAATTATGCTTATTTCATTTAACTATTTCTAAATGAAATAACTTATCCTTTGAAATATTTTGATAGTATTTCATTTTACTAAAACATAGAATAGATTAAAACTGCTTGATTCTGTGGGATTTAATTGAATTGGTAAAACAAGCTCATTCTTTCCCATAGTTGTCAAACCACACAGCTGTTTTATTTCTAATAACATTTTATCTTTTTCATGTTTGTCATTTCCTTTGTGGCAATTGTAAAATACATTAATCAGGTTTTCCCCACAATGTTTATTTACCTCACTATCTACCTACCTATAATTTATCCAGTTTTTTAAACTTTTTTTCACAACTATAGGTACTGATACTTTTTTTTCTTCTCCTTTTTTTTGGTGAGGAAGACCCATATATTTTTATATATTCTTCTTATTTAAAATTTAAATATTATATACAAGGCCAATGTACCTTTGACAATAACCCTAAATTCTAGTCCCCCTCTACACAGCCAACCATTGCCATTAGATATCAGGTTAATTTGGGTACTTTAGATTGTTTTCTATGCATTTGTAAAAATCAATAATTACAGAGAAAACATATAGTGTTGTTTTCATCTTTCTCTTTTATAGAAATTATATCATAATATAACTATCATGATACCAAAAACCTGATGTTTTCCTTATCAATGCCTCTTTCCTTTAAACTGTTGCATTATATTCTATACCACAGATTATGAGTCCTTGTATACATAGACATTGAGTTCACTTCTTTGCTGTGGGAAATTTTTTATTAAGAACACATTCTTGATCCCATTATCAAAAAGAAATTATACTATAATTTAGTGTAATACTTTTATAGTATTCTATTTATGCTTAGATTATAACCAACTGAAATTTGTCTCGATGAATATGAGATATGAACAAACTATATCTTTTTAAATAAGTAAATGATTCTCCTAAGAACTTGTATTAAAAAATGTATGTAGGAGCTGGCCCCATGACTGAGTGGTTAAGTTCACGTGCTCTGCTTTGGTGGCCCAAGGGTCGTCGGTTTGGATCCTGGGCATGGACCTACACACCACTCATCAGGCCATGCTGTGGTGGCATCCCACATACAAGAACTAGAATGACCTACAATTAGGGTACACAACCCTGCACTGGGGCTTTGGGGAGAAAAAAAAAGGAGGAAGATTGGCAACAGATGATAGCTCAGGGCCAATCTTCCTAAAAGAAAAGTAGATATTAAAAAAAAAGTACACTTTACCCCTTTGTTTAAAATGCCACTTTTATCATATTAAATAAGTATATATGCTTTCATCTATTTTTACACTCCTATTCCATTGATCTAGTTTCGATTCCTGTCTAACTTCTACACTATTTTTACTACTATGAATCTATAATATGTTTGATATGTAGTAGGCAAGGCTATTCTTTCTTGGTTTTCTTTTATAGATTTATCTTCGTTATTTTTACAGATTCTCTCTTCTTTATGGATTTTAGGACAGGCTTTAAATTTCCATAAAACATTGTTTTATTTTTTTATTAGTATTATACTAAATTTCATGTACAGATTATTTTGGAGAGAACAGACATCTTTAAAATACTGAACCTTCTCATTGATGAACAAAGTATTTTTTTCCTATTATTTAGGTTTTCTTTTAGGCCCTCCAGTGAAGTCTTGTTAGGATTAATCCTAAGTATTTGATGTGATTATTTCTGTTACAAATAGACCTCTTGTTCTATTTTTATTTTCCAATTAGCTTCCTGATGAGACTAAAAGGTATAGATTATTATCTGGTGAGCTTATATTTGGCCATCTTGATTAAATTCCCTTACTGGTTTTAAAATTTGTTCCATTGTGGTTTTCAGATAAATCCTTTTGTTATCTGAAAACTGTAACAGTTTTGTAACTTCCTTTCTAATATTTGAGCTGTTTCCCTTGTTTTATGACTATGGCTGGGAACTTAAGGCAAAGGTTGGACAATTGTCTTCTTGTCGATGTGGACCTGCTTCTAATATCTCATCATTAAGGACAATGCCTTGGTAAATTCTTTTATAAAGTCAAGGAAATTATTTTATATTTTTTTATTTTACAAAAAACTTTTTAAAAATTGTTATAAACATTTGGAACTCTTTTAGAATACTTTTTCAAAGTCAAGTGAGATGATCAAATACTTTTTCCTTCTTTAATATATGAATATAGTGCATTCCACTGAAAGATGTCTAATGTTGCGCCATTTTTACATTCCCAAGATAAATCCTTACTTGGTCACACTGTATTATTTTTACAGTAAATTACTGGATTCAGTGTGTTACCATTTATTACTTTGTATCCATAATCAGTCTGTTTAAGACAGACATTTCCTGTTTCAAGGGTTTGTTAATCCTTACTCAGAATATCATCTGGACTTGGAGTCTTTGGTGAGGGCTGGAGGGCAAGTCATTATTTCATTACCATTTCAAAGTCTGTTACTAGTTTTTGTGTTTTTTAGATTTTCCAGGTCTTCTTTTGCCAATTTTAGTAATTTTTTAATCTTCTGCAGATATAGCCTTATTTTTTAATCTGTGCCTTATTTTTTCTAAATCATAATTTTCAGAGGTTGACCCATTTCATGCTCTTTCACTGAATTAGTTTTTATTTTTTGAATCATCAATTCATCAACTATTTCAATTTGCTTTATTCATTAATTATAACAATTTGTCTTAATTCCTTTTTTGGATTTATTTTTGTTCTCCTATTACATGGTTGGATTGATTGCTTACTTTTATTTTAAATCTTTCTAGTTTTCTAACAGATACATTTAAGATGACAAATTTTCCTTTGAGTAGAGCTTTCATTACACAGCACAGGTTTTGATATATAATCTTCTTATTTTGAATCAATTCTAAACGTACTTTTTCAGTCTTTGCTAATGTTACAACTTTCATTTTCTTAAATTATATAACAAGCCACAGATTAGTTACCCTTTTATTCCCTGGATACTCAGGGGAGAGAGAATATTTATTCCCTGGAAATAGAAAACCTTGTAGACTAGAACAATCACACGAGATGACTACAGATTAAATAGTGCTTGATATTTCATTCCTATGAATGTGGATCCTTAACCTGCTATCTAAAGTGAGCATTATACATTTAATGGTCTCTATTGTTCCAAAAAGACTTGACACTCCTTTGAGAAAGAGAAGTACAAAAGTCACTCAAGATCAGAATTGAATTCAAATGTGTGCCACTAAGCAGGCTCACGTCGTTATTATTTTTATGTCTAGGCTTAATAAAAAAGCTGTTTCTAATTATTCTCAAAGTCCAGTACCATTTCACAGTCCAGTATCATTTCAGTGATTTTTTTTCTTTTAGGATTAACGTTTCCTTCCCGTAGTCCTGGTCAAATACACAGCCCTAAATTGGTAAAGACGTCTGTTGGACTGATAGGAACTATTTCTGAGTGCCTGGGAAAGGAAAAATTGGTTAGATGGTGTGAAATTCAACCGTGGGACTCATATCTCTGGGAGGTTATGCTGTTTCTAACAAAAATATTTGTGCACACTCATATCCTCTCTTATACCACCTTAACACAGAATTCTGCTAATGTATAAGGTAAGTGTTTCACACAAAACCCAATTTTGCAGACAGTTTATTTTTTGATGTTTCGATTATTACCTTTCAGCCCCCAGGGTTTTAGAGAGCTAAAACTCTATTTTTGCAGTGCACAGACTTTCTGTTTCTCTTACTTTTCATACACATTTTTGAAGATGATTAGCTATGAATCTAATCTTGTTAGCAC